TGGCCCTTCTGCCCCCCACCCCCTAGGTTGGCCCACGGGTGTGGGTACTTAGGACAGAACGCGACTTTTTCGCTCTTCGCAACGCGACATCGCGCGGCAGGCTGGCGCACCCGTAGCGAAAACAACTACGGTATATAAGAACGCGCGATTGGAGCGCGATATTTGTGTCGGCTTTGATTGCGACAAGGAGTTTGAAGCTTAATAGCCATGGATTTGATAATGAACGAGGAAATGGTAACCAGAAGTGGACCGCTAACTAGCAGTGAAGAGGGAGGTAGGTTATTTTTGCAGAGATGGATGGTAGAGCTTCTGGAGAACCTGGAAGAGGAATGGTGATGGACGTCTCGAACCAGACGAGGAATGGTTGATGGACGTTTGATGAGACGACTGTAAACTTCTGCAGGGGTTATTTGGGGCCCTGATCATGAATATGACACTAATTTTTCCCATTCGTGCTGTTTAACGCATACTTTCTGCCGTTACTAACGAGGAAAGGTCACCAGGCCGGTCCGGCCATTTGCAATGAGGTGTATACCTATGCATTCGTCTTGAGACGATAAGCTAGAAACCGCTTTTCTTATCTGCTAAACGGTGCTCTGAACGGAGTTACGGAAGTTTTCCCCTCAACACTGTACTTAAACGCAGTATATGAGCGCTATCATTGGAGTCGCCACTATAAGCCAAGCGGGAAGGAGCATGGTCGTGGTTGACGTGGCGTAAGTGTGGTAACGCTCCAGGCTTGTAGGCGAGAGGTCATGGGATCGGTCTCTCGTGGTGTTTGTTGTTTTGCCTTTTTGAAAACATGACCAGAAAGGCTTTTAGCGACAGTATCTCCTCAATTGCCTGCCTTTACCTGCCTGTGTAAGGAGTTAGGCGAGCACCCCGTCGCAGGTTGAGAGCTATTTTCAATTAATATTTGCCATGACTGAAAACGACGCTCATAGCCCACTGATAAGGTGTTTTTGCGGTAAACGAGTATGATATTCGTGTTCAGGAGACCGAATTTTCCCTGGTTACAAGTTTCCAGCTGAATCTGAGATTTTGACCTACACTCGAGAAAGGGCAGTCAACATACAGTCAAACGAGAGAAGGTATGAATCGAAAACTAACTGGAAAAGCACCTTCCCTGAATTTTGATGCAGAGTCATGTAAATCATTTCCGTTATGCGGGAATGTGAGCCGTTGAACGTTTCTCTTTTCAAAATCTTGGTTGGAAGGGCAATTTCCATGCCAAGAGTTCAACGATAGGTTGATGATATGATGGTTGACTCACCTCATTTTTTAGGGTTGGGTCAAAATCTCAGATTCGGTAGGAAACTTATCTCCAAGGGTAGTTTGATCTCCTGAACACGAATATCACGCCTGTTTGCCGCGAAAAAGCCTGACACTTGCATTACGGGCACCATGTTCATACATGGACGACTACTGCCCAAACCTGCAAGGAACTGCTCGAAATTTTTTCGTACAGGGAACTAACGGCAAAGTTGATAAATTAAGAAGTTAGAAGCTTTCTGGCTACATCTTCACGAAGCACAAAAGAAACAGACTCTCCGAGGAGCCGTTCCCACGACCTCTTGCTCGCGAGTTCGGGGCACTGCCACTGCGCTTCCTTGCTTTATAACTACGTTCAGAATCGTTTAGCAGATAAGGAAGGCAGTTCTGAGCTCAGCGCTCGAGGCGACGTTCAGACCGGTAGTAGCGATGTCATTGCAAGATGGCCGACCGGCGGCTTGAACCTTCCCGTTCGTAAGCTTTCACCTACAGGCCGTACGAGCTTAGTCAGTAGCCGTGTGGGCAAAAGTTGGAGTGTGTCACACCACAGGGGAATGGCCTACCCACTTTGGAGCCCTACACTACTCAAAGGCTTAGTCCTACTGCGATCTAATTAGTGCGAGGGCGCAGACGAGCAGGATGCAGGCGCCGAATAGCGCTAAGAACAAATCAGGACCCCGAATAACCCCTATACAAAAGTTTAAAACGAATTTAGTGGGAAACAGTTGTGGCGCCACCTGGCCCCAAATGGCGCCAGCGTCCAAAATGAGTATCATATCCGTAATGAGGACAGAGCGCGTTTCCGTAAAAGTATGTTATACCTACACTCCCCCTGGCTCACGAACTCCCCAATTCTCGTGACAGTATAGTAGCGAGCAGCAGTCCCACTGACATACATTTCTGTTCAAAAAATGCGGCGTGCCCACCCTACTTGTATAGCACCCCAATGGGCTTTTAGTTGATATGGAGATGTATGTAAGATTGAGGTTCTTTATTCGTTGACTTGAAGCATCAGAGCTTTGATGGTCAACGATCTCTATCTTAGCAGGCGACGTAAACAAGCAGCAATTTGTTGGATGACATTTGTTCTCCAACATCTCAGAGAACAGTTTCTGGATGTTTGGCAGGAATATACTTCGTAGAAGCTAGTGCTGCTAAGATTTCAATATTGACTTTAATTCGTTTTGTCCTCATTTTTACGGAATACTGACCATAAGTTGCCTGGTCGGACCTGTGTACCCAACTAGAATTCCCAGATAACTTAAATGGTAAAGTCTGCCTATGCTATGCTTATCCCTTGAGCAATTTGTAATTCATGGACTGTTTGAAAGGCGTTAATTATGTTAGCAATCAATTGAATGTGCGATGCAGTACAAGGAACTGTTGCGAACTTGTCTACGTGGCGTGCACCTACGGGTGCCCAGACGGGTGAATGTTCTCCCACATGTCACAGTTGATGCGAGCTTGTCATACGGTTTAATTATGAACTTTGATCTGTAGAGCAACTCCTGCAACATAAACGGGAAGTGCATTCATGGAAGGTAACGAGAGAAACATAGAGGCTCCTGGACAATGTCTTCTCCACCTGCACTGCACCTTTAGTTGCGTGTTTACTTCTGATTTCTAGTACAGCTGAATGCTGCTTTACTTGACGTGTGTGATAACATTACAGTGGAAAACATAAATTTCACTAAGTGAGCTGTTGTTTTTAAAACCAGTCGTTTAGCCTCCCATGCAAGTTGATATATGTGCACCTTCCATTCGATCAACATTCGCGACTGGAAGTTCGAGCCGGACAGACAGCGCGTGATGCGATTTCGAAACTTCTGAAGAAAAGAAATATAACCCCTCAACTCTGTCATGTTAACGTCTCTGAAGACCCGAGGAGTGAACAAATCGACCTCATGGTACGTCCTCATATAATTTTGTATACAAGTCGTTTTATTCCAACACATGTGTTTAACTTCGGTTAACTGTTACTCGTAGGATCACCACTTTATCTCGCAGCTGTTGGTATCGAGCGTGAGATTCAGATACGAACAATATTGACTGGTTTTTAACTCACCAGAATGGTCCCCCGTCAACCGCCCGGGCCTCCTTCCCTCCCTGCGTAGCTTTACGTCTTCCGCTATGGTCCCTTCCACCTGTGACACCAACACCTCGTGGAAGTGACGCGTATGCAACACAATGGTGTTTCAAGAATGACGTCAGTT